AGGGAACGCTAAGTTGTGAAGATGCTACTAAGGGAACATCGCATTGGTCAAAGGGCATCTAACACGAAAAATCCGCTCGGGTCTATAAATGCTGTAATCTGGAAGTTCCAAAGGGAAATAATGTTGCCGATGACCGACTCGGCTATCTACCATTTTTAAACCCTGTCATTTTATTTTGAAAGGAAAGAGCTGCCCCAAAAGAGAATGCGATTTAGCGGAAAAGCAAATGGTATTGACGAGATCCGGATTCGTACCGCTGTATGGCGACTGTTTGTGAGTCATAAAGGGGAGAGGTTTGGAGAACCTGAATTCTTAATATAACTTCATTACAACATTGTTCCTTAATAAACAAGATAAGGAGGTTTCACGTGTGATCTTCATAAATAGAGGGCTTAAATTCAAAATTTAAATAACAGTTGTATGTGGGATTTCGCTCGCTGAAGGTCCTCTCGAAATCTCTCTCTGAATCCGCTTCAAACAATTTTGTGTTAGGTAAGTCAAACTGCGCTTGCGGGTCAAGCAGAGGATGGGAGAGGGAAAGCACGGGGCTGAGTCCGGGAGAAGACGAGAGTGCGTAGGATCTTGCTTTGTAGCTTAGAGAGTGAATATTTGTTGAAGTCGAATTGTAAATTCCGAAGATATGAAAAGGGAAACCGTAGGAAAGTGGGGAAAATTTTTCACGCATTCTGGAGGAAATTTTACTCAAAACTGAGAACTTTCCCGTTTTAAGCAGGCTTATATATTCCCCATGCCGGGCCTGACGAGGAATCGTCTGCTTCTCTTCCTTCGCCGCGCGATGGGCCTGGGGGACCCCGTCGAACTCGATTACTCACACTAGTGAGGATTTGCATCTTCTCAGTCAGCCGCTTGAGCCTTGAGCAGCCTGTCAATCCCCCCTAATTTCATGTTGAATAAAACCCGCGCCGATTCCACGTAAAAGCACCTCTGTTCGTGCAGTGGAGTTTTGGACACCTCAGAAACTACCGCAAATTGGCCTATAGAGGTAATTTGATGCCCTGATCACGAAAACGACTTTCATTTTTAGATTAGGGGCTTTGCTTGTGATTTTATAAATAAGGGGTTGGAATTTGTTCTGGCGCCGGTTGGCGTCACCTCGCCACGACACCCGTTTCCATCGAATTTGGTGTAAAACTTTCATATAAGGGTTATTTGGTATCCCGAAAACGATAAACATTCATCGGCGCTGGCGCTATTTTGCGCCTATTTTCTACTCGTCTGTGCTCTCTAACCACGAAATATGCACTGCACAGCGTTAATGTCAAGAATTAAAGTCATATTCGTAGTCAGCGCACCAAATAACCCCTATACGGAAGTTTACACCGATTGTGGTGGGACTAAGGGTCGTGACAACGGGGCGCCACCGATAAAAATGAATGTCACTTTTGTAATCAGCATATCGAATTACCCTATCGACATAAGCTACGGTATAATCTATATGTACGCAATTACACTGGACCAGCGGTTATACATTACTGACGGAATTAACGATAAATTCGAGGATACTTGTTCAGGAACGGTGGGCAAGTTTTAGCTGCTATACAACAGCTGCTCACCCATAATGGCGAGCATTTATGGCAACATACAACCAGCAAACTATTTCTCCCGTTCATATATTAAAAACCAGCCTTCACTTGCCCACCCATCGGTAAGTCTACTAAATAGTTGAGAAAAAATGCAAGGCCAATGTCAGACTTCGCGATTCGAGCGATTTGCTTGCGTCCGCGGTCGCGTCGCGGATAGCGACCCGATCCATTGCCTGGTACTACAACACTGCCGCGGGCAGTAGAGAATGGCTAGCGAATCGTTCGATTCGCAAAGTCTGACACCGTCCCAGGATAAATTGTTCCACCAAAAGCATCAGAAAGAAGAAGCGAACAGGAACTGAAACCCTTTTCCTTTTATAGTCCAGTGACTAACTGAAACTACCGTCTGATGCCTATTAGCAACCAACAAGGACAGAAGCAACTGTATTCGCTACATAGTCAAGACTACTATGCTCTCATTGATTGGCAAAAACGTTTGGTGAGTTCATAACCCTTCCATTCCAAGGACCCATCTTTATACATCCAGAAAACGTGTGGGTACACATCAGTAGTGTAGCTGCGCGCTCCAGTGCCAACGCGGATTACGGTAGCGGTCACTCACCGGACTGTTAAATCCGGCTTGTTATCACTGGCAGAGCAGATAAGAAGTACAAAGCTGGAGAGATTTGTCGCCAGGACCTGAGCATCTCGATTAGCTACACACGCAACGGCCACAGAGAGTCGTCCTTGACGGCGAGCATTCCCGGCAAAATCGAACAAAACCCGGGTGAGCTCATTTTTTTTTTTGTTGGTGTTTATTTTTCGGTGAGCTTTATTTTTGAGTTGTACGATGCTTCCGGCTTCCTAGCAGAAAGTCAGAAACCCTAAAAGCCAAGCGGGCGTTTGGTATGATAGCGGGCAATTCGGAGAGCGTGCAATTCTATAATCTGACCCAGTTTTAGGCCTTTGGAAACGAAGGGACACTCGCAACGTTTGCTGTAATGAATTCTTCCACCTAACAATGGAGAACAGAGCACAAACAATATCGAACAAAACTACTTTCCCCGCTTTATAAGGATCTCTTCAATTCTGACTTCATAGGTGAGTTTATCAATAAAATCGTAGGAAGCGAACGCAAGAAGATGAAAGCTACCTTTTGAGGAGATCTCTTGGTAATACGCGAAGCCTGCCACGCGATTTCATATATTTTACCTTACGCGACCCAATACGCGAGACTTCCTCAAATGCTAACTATGAGGTTAGAAATGTTTATCTTCAATACGCGGTTAATAAGTGAATAAGAATCTCTCGAATAATGATAAAAGATATACAGGGGGGGGGGCAATAAAAAAAGACATTTTGTCTCCAGACTCAAATGGATTTAATCACACTTTGCTCAGCTCAAAGCGTGTGCTCCCAACTTAGAATTGAAGAGCGCATTTCATTTCATAAGAAAATCTTCATAGTGGCCATCTACGTGGACGGCATCAGGAAAATTTGCCCCGGAAACATGGTGCTCTGGTCGAGCTCAGTGGGGTTCTCGACTGATCGTGTACCGTTACGACGGGTTTCGAAGGGCGGGTTCCGAGGGGGTTTGCATAGTTAGAGCTAATGTCCCTAGGAAACTATCCCACGTTGAACCGATCCAAGAAATTATGTAAGAGCTTCAGGATGAAGCAGTTACTGTAGGCCTCCCTGAGCTCGACGACGGTGACAGATGACGTCATATTCTGAAGAGGTGGGTTAGCGGCAGGGTCAACCGTCACGTTCGAACATTTTCAGGGTTTTTGCGACCCCCTTTTCTCAAGGGGGTCACCCCCTTATCTCAAGGGGGTCCAGTTGCGACCCCCTCTTAGGTAATGGAAGTGCCGAATGTGCTGACTAAATGTTAAGTGAAATATTTATTTCACTCATTTTACTTCAAAGACAGTGAACTAAAACCTTTTAAAGACAATGAACTTCCATGACATAGAACAAAACATTTGAATATTGAATTCTTCACTGGCATTTGAATTGAATTCTTTTCAAAAAATCATTGAATTTTTTTCAAAAATTCAATGATTTTTTGAAAAAAATTCAATTCAAATGTTCAGTAAAGAATTCAAAGAGAGTTACGTTCTCCATCAATGCATCTCCTAAGATGAGCCCCAAAGGAGCAAGAATCACAGGGCACTGGCTAATGAAAGCTATTTTTTATGGTTAGCCTCGCGAGATCAAAATTTTTGTTCGCTCACAATCACGCCAAAATGAGGATGAAAGCGAAATGTGTAAGACCAAATGGAGGGATATCCAACAAGTAACATGAAGACTGACGAACTTCTGCTCAAACAGCTGAAAAAAGAGGAAGGATTAAAGAAGAGTAGGACTGACATGATTGCGTCAGAAACCGCCGCAGAAAGCGTTTGCGTTGCGGCGTCAACCTTGGAGCGCGGCAGGTATCACCCGGACGCTGGAAAACTGGGACGCGGCGAAGAAAAAGTTTTAGGAGAGTGTAACTTTCTTGAGACGTATTTGTTTCACTTATTGAGGTAGGTTTAAACTGTGCCTGAGGTGGCTTTACAGAAAATTGCAAGGATGACCTAACTCTCCCAAAAGTATTTCTGTCAGAAGCGGAAAACCCAAAATTCTGAGAAGGCGCACCTCCAACTTTGAGAGCTCATAAAATCTTTCGTATGCGACATCTTGGAAATTTGTGAAAAGTTTTAGAAACTTCAAATATTTCTCTAACAAAAGATTATAAAAAGTTAAGTGATTGTCCCCTTTTTCAAAAATTTGCCCCGTTCGAACAGTTCCCGTGCAAAACCGAGTTTTTAAGCTTTCAGCGACTATAACTCACTTCATTTTGATTGCTGTGTTTCCCTCTTTCCATGGGGTGAAAGAGCAGGTTTTGCTCTTTCTAATAAGCCCTAAACCATTTTTCAAAGTTCATTTTTCGAGAAAATCCCACGTTCGAACATTTGGATCCCATAGGTTTTTGAGCAGCACATGCGAGGTTTCGAGCTTTCAGCAATAATAACTTCCTTCAAAGAGCATGTTGGAAAGAGGCGAAGACATTTTTGAAGACCGCGAGGTTTCTATATAGCCACATGGAGGGAGCAAATAAGCCTGCTGAGACGGCAAAGTTCGCAGTTTTCAAGTGAAGTTTCTTCAGATTGCGTGAAAATTTTCCTACTTACCTGCGGTTTCCTCTCTCATGATTCAACTTCAACAAATATTTGCTTTTTGTACCACGAAGCAAGACCCTAGGCCGATGTCAGACTTTGCGAATCGCGCGATTCGCTAGCGTCTGCGGTCGCGTCGCGGCCAGTGAATCACTCAATTGGCTGGTACCGCAACGCGACCGCGGACGCTAGCGAATCGCGCGAATCGCTAGTAGCGAATCGCGCGATTCGCAAAGTCTGACATCGGCCTAAGCCTACCCCATTTCCTCCCCCGATCTCACCCCCACGCTCTCACTCCATGCTGTTCTCCTTTTCCACTCGGCTTGAGGGCAGTTGGCGCTGCCTACATAAAATTTTAGTTTAAAAAACCGTGCCCGCCATCAACAAAGCAATAGCAGGTTCGACGAGGTGAAGAAAATACCCTCCTTCATTACCTTAGAGGGAAGTCGCGCTGTGCGGCTCTGGTTTGACCTCGGCATTGATTTCTTCTACTATTTTTGCCGAATTCATTCTTTTTTTGAGCTCTCTTCTGTTTCATGAAATGACTGGGTTCCACAAATGGTAGCAGATAGCGTAATCGGGTCATCATTGATCTATTCTGTAATCTTTTAGTCACGTATCTTGAAGGGGGCGAAATTCTAGCGATACGTGTAGTACTCTGACCACTGCGATGTTCTCCTAGTAGTAATTTCATGACCACAAACCACATGAAAAATAGAAATAGGGCGCTGATGTAGCTGGACGAGGGAGAGGGGCATTGTTGTGTGGAGAGCCCAACACATTCCCCAACTCCCCCCCCCCCCTAGGACGAGGCTTAGGGAGCACTAGGGGAGGGATGTGTGAGCCTAGTTCATTTTCTACCAAGTTCATTCTCTCCTAGACTCAATCCGCATGGCCATCCCCCCCCGCCAGAAATAGATGTTGTGAAATATTGTAACACGTACCTCTTTTTACGAAGAAGCGATAATATTGTGATAATGTTGAGGTACAGCACTCGCGTCATAAGCGCTTACTAATTGATACGGTAAAATTCCTATCGGCGATACCAATCGATACCAGAAGCGAGAGGCTGTTATGTTCCTCTTACGTAAAACAACAACTCACACACTACACCTTTTAAATATTGGCTGAATATATAAAAATATGGTTCATGCTAAAAGCAATGATCACTGCATGGCTGAGGGTGGGTGTGCACACAAACTGAGCATCATCAAGGGGTTGGGACCATCTCTAAGACGTGCCTTCACCAGAGATGTTCAGTGACGTCATACATAACTGCGCAAGCCTTCAGCTGTCCTGGACCTACCGCCGATTCAACATTTACTTAGCGATAAGGAGGATTTTTCGTAAAGGACGTACCAATAAATATTGCTGTTATTCGATTACCAACGATGGGTTATTGATTATCTGTGATGGATACTGTGATTATTGATGGATTATAGTAGGCAGGATTTCTGAACATGAAATTCCTCAAACAGTATTTCTAAAGAGAAAGGCTTGAAAAAGTGGGCAAAACTCACCGAAGGTTGTAAAATGTTTCAGAGCTTCATGCGAGAATTCGTATTAGAGCGTCCTTGCTGACCACTGCCTTGCGAGACTCGGCCCATCGAATGACCGCATTCCAGTTGTCTACTGTTTTTAGGAATCGCACGCTTCCAAGAACAAACAGTCCGTGGCTGCAGCGAGTAAGTGCGACGTTCATACGATTGCTGTCACCCAGGAAATCTTTATCACCACCGTCGCACCTTGTGGTGAGCAGAATGACGATCTCCTTCTCACGATTTTGAAAAGAACCAACAGTGAGCAAATCGACGGAACAATCCTTGGCAAATTGCTCGAGAAGATGGCGCTGCCCTCTGTAGAATGTGACGATCCCGAGGCATTCCGGCTTAATTCCTTTGGCTAATAGGGAGGTGACGATCAATTGGCAGACATCAGCTTCCCTGGTGTTGAAGTTGGTCTCCAGTTCGGTGCGGAGCGGATCGCGTGTTGGTTCAGGAATATCAACGAAAACGAACGGATAACATGGGTCTGGGCAGCGGACATGGTCCAGGAACAAACCACGCTGGTACTCGTCAGCCCCGTCTATGAGATCGCCGTCGTAAAAGAGTTCGTTCGGAAGCTCGTTTAGACCTGGATGGGCTCGGAATGTGGTCACCATTGAGAGGGAGGGAACGCGTTTATCATGAGAAGATTCATCATTCCTCGTGCTCCGAGTCTTGCAGGAAGAGCGTGGCGAGCACAGCGAATGTGGGGTTGGAGCTGGAGGGGGTCACCAATGTAGACATGACGAGCATTGAACAGGCGATTCGTGATAGCCACGAATTCCGGCTCAGGAATATGCGAAGCGTTGTCCCCGATGACCGTGTGGCAGTCCTGCAGAAGGCCATGGAAGATGCCTCCCTTATCAGTAGAGTTCAGTAGGGCTGACGTCGTCATACATATGATAGCCGGCTTCCGCAATCTGAACATCAGCTGGACCACTTTGGATGTGATGGCGGAAACCTCCTGCTCGGCCAGACGGTACTCTTTTTGCTCAGACGCGGTCAGATGTAACCCGTTTTCCGGGGTGAATAAGTACTTCTCCAGTAGCTCACGCCCTTTTTTGAAACTTCGACAAGTCCTCAAATCCTCACGCGACAACTGTTCAAAATAGTCATCGGGTAGGCGTTTCAGTATGCTATTTATATCGACAGTGGTCGAAGGATTACCTTCGATAAGCGAAGTGTCGGACACGTAGCGCAGCACGGGCAGGTCTCTGTACTCATCGAGTTTCAGAACGGTGTCGGTGATTTGCGCCACTGCGCCATTTGTGGTGGCAGTGATGATAGAAAAGCCTTTTTGTTTGCGCACAACCCGTGCGGCTATCAAAGCAGCGACCAGAGTTTTTCCTGAGCCAAATGGTCCTCGAATGGCCACAATTGGACGACGATCATCACATCCTAGTCGGATAGCAGCCACCTGGTCTGAACCAAGTTCGAGGGACTTGCCATCCAAGGAGATTCGTTTTGCTGTTCGGTACAGGTAGTCGGAACCAGCTATTTTATAGGAGGACAGGTTGTTGTAGACCGCATCGAGCACCTGCGCTCCTCGACACTCGCTGTTTCTCGTGATGTTCTCGAAGAGCTTGTGCTTGGTGAGCATCGGGTACACTGGCACTGTCCGATTGACACACTGGCGGGCTAGCTTGACACAAATGTCAATGTAGATGGTACCCTCTATTTCCTTGCTGTATTTATTCACCTCTAACATGAGAGAGCGATGAAGGCGAGCTGAAGAGACGAGTTGGATGTCGAGGGTCTTTTCCTTAGGGTCAAATTTTGTTCTTAGAATCGAGACGCGCTCAACAGAAGCGGCTCCAACTATCCACAGGAAGACAGAGCGATTTGCAGTCCACCCGGACTCTGAATCCAATCGCAAAGTGAAGTGGAACCGAATCGGGAAAGCAGTCAGGCTGGGTACTGTAGCCGTCAGCCTCCGTGTACTTCTGTCGTCGTTCATACCTTCGATGGCCAGTAGAGCAGAGCAGCCAACGTTGAACAGCTTGGTCATTCTGTGGTGGGCTTGTCGGGGGTTTTTGAAGTAATTCGTGAATCTACCGACACGGTCATCGATCCAGTCCCTATCGTCACGAGGAATATCGAAAATCTTCAACGGTAGCAGTCCTTCTTGCGGATGGGAAGGGATGATTGGACGGACCAGCTTGCACAGAGCGAGCTGATCGTCTACCGACGCCGGCGACTCGGAAGAAGCGGATCGCGGTAGAAACATTCCCTCGAGTATCAGCAAGCACGATGTCATCCTTCTTCATGGTTCGTGATGAGCTCTGCAGATGTTTACGGGAGACAAAAACTGCATCGGGAACACTTTCGAAGGCGACTTTATAAGGTCGTAAACTTGTGTCTTTACCCTCTAGTACGAGACCAAAGACGCGATGAGGTGCAGTTGGAGGGGTGACGAAGACGAATTCTCGTGCTCGGAAGAAGTACGGTACGTGCATGTCGAGAGCAGTACTTCGGGGTTTACGTGCCGGTCAAGAACCGATGACGGTTTGTCAAGGGCCTCAGCCGTCGGTTCCACAGAATACACCCAGACGAAGTCCTTAACGGACACCAGCCTGCTGCTGAAACCACGCGTACGTGACTTTATATTCGTGGAAAACTGGTCGAGCACAATGCACTGCAGCTCGGCACGATCGGGGCCAAAAATGAAGAAGTCTTTGGCTTCGAGAATTAGGGCTCCTCTGTATTCTCGAGAAACAACCTGATAAAGGACTGGGGTACTGTGCCAAGGAATCGGAAGAATGGTTGATGCCATTGAGCCCGAAGGGGTCACTGGATCACTATTTTCACGGGCCACATAAGTGCCACCCTTGAGCTGGTCAATGATCTTCAACGAGTGCTTGCGAAAGTCGACAGCGTCCTGAAGACGCATGAGCTCGAAGATTGGAAGTGGCTGAGTGGAGTTGGGCTGCTGGTGATAGCGAGGGAACAGCGACTGGACGAATTCGTACGAAAAATAGCCCATATCGGGAATGTGGCGATAAACTTCAAGTGGAAGAGAGCTTGTGACACAGTCCTCGGACAGAATGGACGGACGTTCACGGACAGTAACGTGTTTTGCCCATGGATGCTCGTTGATGAGGTGGTGGCTGAACTTATTTGGTTTAGATTGTGGGAGTTTAGGAGGAAATATTGGACTCTTCTGGAGGCTGAGCGGCGGCTGAATTGGGGGAAGGTCGTCCTGGGCAGTTCTCCCATTTGGGGTGTTGCTGTTAGAAGAGTCTCTCGATGAAGTGCTCTGGCTATTGTCATCATCCCAGTATGAAAAGTCTTCCTGTGCCTTGCGACAATAAAGTTTCTTCGGTGGAAATCTCTGTGAGAGAAGGTCGGTGACGGCAGATCGTACTCTTCTAAATAAGGACATGTTCAATAGGATTGATAGGGAACATCAAAAGCACATTCCGCAACAGGGGTCATTATTGGATTAGTGAGCCAGTTTTAGTGAGCGGATACAACTGATGACGAAATCTGTTGCCCTATTTCTCCTACGGTTTCCCAACAAAAGGCGGAAATAGTGCAGTGGCAAGTGGCGAAGGCATATCACGCACGATCCGCGGGCCAACTCTTGGCCTGTGATTTCAATCTGCTCGCACTTGCACCAAATCTTTGTTACAAATATAAAAAATCGGTAGTGGTTGTCGCTGGACCTTTGCCGGAGGAGGGAGAAAAAAGGTGAGAAATTACCGACGAACCAAATTATCTGCCAAGAGGGAATGACAAGAACAGAGACGAGAGAGCACAGCGAAGAGCGAGAAGGCAGACACTGCAACGATGGCCACGCATGGTGTTCCTAGAAGTGACCACTGCTATAAATTCTAAGCCCCTGGCGCCTATCCCATTGTATCAACAAAGTGACCCTATTCCTCAGGTTGTGGTCCCAACAGATTTATTCGCCGAGAGACATTGTTCTATGGTCTAGTCGCGGAATGTGCTTTCAAAGGAGTAGTGGCATACCATCTTCAAAGAATGACTCGTCGCTTTGCCTAGATGTTGACTGAGATGGTGATCCACGCTCTGTAAAGCGGAACATCTAATCATTCAAATCGTTTCACATATGATCAGTAACTGCAAAACCGTCCATTTTCCACAATTAAGGGAGACAGTGGCACCCTATCGCTGCAGCCCAAAATCTCAACCAGCCTTCCTATCACCTTTAGTTTCGTTTTTGCCTCAATATCCAGCTAGTTACTGCTGTTGCTCGGTAGTATCGTCGCCCTTCCCCTCTCCCCAACCCCCTGAATGTTATCGCGGTTCCTCACGCTCATCACAAGGGTCCTATTTTTCGAGCTCACTTATTTGAATGCATCAAAAAGCTCCTTTTTTCGTTCCATGGTTCCTCGGTGGCAGAGTTAAATCAGCGACAGCAAAGGTCACAACTTTTTGTGCAGTAGCGAGTTCAAGTTAAAGGCAAAGTTCGGGCTCAGACCCACCTAAGAAGCCCTTACCATGGCTAGAAGTGCTGGGTACGCAAGTGCAAAGGTAGCGCCACCTTTCTACATCGAAACGCGTCACTAGGACCCTAGGCGCCATGGACTTCTAACAGACTCCACCAAACTTAACATGGTCCGCCCACCGTTCGATATCTTGTCTGCGTCGCCACG